GTACCAATTAACCAACCTCTCAACACGCCTCCCTCCCCTCAGACTCTGGTAACTATTACTCTGTTCTCTACCTTCAAGAGATGAACTTTTTAAACTCCCACATGTGAATGAGAACATGTGATATTTGTCTTTCTGTGCCTGGCTTATTTCATTTAGCATAATGGTCTCCAGATTCCATTTATCTTGCTGCAAATGACAGAATTTCATTCTTTTTTTTATGTCTGAGTAATATTCTATTGTGTATGTATACCACATTTTCTGTTATCCATTCATCCACTGATGAACACTTGGGTTAATTTCATATCTTGGCTATTTTCTGTTTTAATTTGCAAGTCCCTGATGACATATGATATTCAGCATGTTTTCACATGCTTATTTGCCATTCGTACATCCCCTTTGGTGGGCTATCTGTTCACATTTTTTGCTCATTAAATTTTGTTGTTGTTGTTGTTGCCAGGTGTAGTGGCTCATGCCCATAATCCCAGCATTTTGGGAGGCCGAGGCGGGTGGATCACTGAGGTCGGGAGTTCTAGACCAGCCTGTCCAAAATGGTGAAACTCTGTCCCTACTAAAAACACAAAAATTAGCCAGACCTGGTGGCAGAAGCCTGTAATACCAGCTACTCGGGAGGCTGAGGCATGAGACTTGCTTGAACCCAGGAGGTGGAGGTTGCAGTGAGCCAAGATTGTGCCACGGCACGCCAGCTTGGGCAACAGAGCAGACTTTCTCAAAAAAAAAACCAAAAAACAAAAAAATTTTTTTTTGTTTTTTATTTGCCTAACACTTGATATCAACATTTTTGCCAATTTTTAAATTAGGTTGTGTGTTTTCTTATTATTGAATTTTAAGAATTATTTGTGGCGGGCCCGGTGGCTCACGCCTGTAATCCCAGCACTTTGGGAGGCCAAGACGGGCGGATCACGAGGTCAGGAAATCGAGACCATCCTGGCTAACACGGTGAAACCCCGTCTCTACTAAACAAATACAAAAATTAGCCGGGCGCGGCGGCGGGCGCCTGTAGTCCCAGCTATAAGGGAGGCTGAGGCAGGAGAATGGCTTGAACCTGGGAGGCGGAGCTTGCAGTGAGTGGAGATGGCGCCACTGCACTCCAGCCTGGGCGACAGAGCGAGACTCCGTCTCAACAACAACAACAACAAAAAAGAATTATTTGTATATTTTATTGTATAACAGTCTTTTATCAGATATGTGTTTTGCAAAGATTTTTTTTCCCCCTAGTCTGTGGCTTTTCATTCTCTAGACAGTGTCTTTCTTGGAACAAAAGTCTTTAATTTTTGATTGGGCAGGCTTTTTATTACTATGAAAATAAGATGTGAGAGATAGTGTGGCCCGGTGCGGTGGCTAAGGTCTGTAATCCCACCACTTTGGGAAGCCGAGACGGGTGGATCATGAGGTCGAGAGATCGAGACCATCCTGGCTAACACGGTAAAACCCCATCTCTACTAAAAATACAGAAAAATTAGCGGGGCGTGGTGGCGGTCGCCTGTAGTCCCAGCTACTGGGTGGGGGCGGGGGGTGGCTGTGGCAGGAGAATGGCGTGAACCCGGGAGGCGGAGCTTGCAGTGAGCCGAGATTGCGCCACTGCACTCCAGCCTGGGCGAAAGAGCGAGACTCTTGTCTCAAAAAAAAAAAAAAAAAAAAAAAAAAAAGATGTGAGAGATAGTACAAAACTTTTCTTGATTACTAGAAAGATTAGGTTGAATGGCTTCCATGGTCTCTTTCGACACTAGGTTTTTATGGTTCTACTGAAAAAGTGTGCTGTGAATTTTTACCATGTGAATTGAAGGGTTCCCTGGCCCATTATAAAATTAATATATGTTAATGGCAGGAAGTTTAGAAAATGCAGTAAAGAAGAAAATATGCCTTATAAAAGAAAACAAAACAAAAACAGTGTGGCGGTGTGGCATTGACTGGGTGAAAGAATTTTGGACCAGTGAAAAATCCAAACGGGCCTGCCTATATTCCTCTCTTTCATTAGTTGACGACTCAACAGGGCTGCACCTTCTCACTGTTTCAAAGCATACAGGGATGAAAAGACAGCAATGAAACTAATGAATAATCTGCCGGGAGTGGTGGCTCAGGCCTGTAATCCCAGCACCTTGGGAGGCTGAGGTGGGTGGATCACCTGAGGTCAGGAGTTTGAAACCAGCCTGGCAAACATGTGAGGCTGTGAACATGTGACACAGTGAAACCCTGTCTCTACTAACAATATAGAAATTAGCCGGGTGTGGTGGCGGGTGCCTGTAATCCCAGCTACTCGGGAGGCTGAGGCAGGAGAATCGCTTGAACCTGGGAGGTGCAGGTTGCAATGAGCTGAGATCTCGCCACTGCACTCCAGCCCGGGCGACAGTGTGAGACTCCGTCTCAAAAACAAACAAATAAACAAACAAAAAAACAAAAAACGAGCCCTGGTGCGGTGGCTTACGCCTGTAACCCCAGCATTTTGGGAGGCCAAGTTGGGCAGATCACGATGTCAAGAGTTCGAGACCAGCCGGCAAACATAGTGAAACCCCCGACTCTAACAAAAATGCAAAAAAATTAGGTCATGGTGGCGGGCGCCTGTAATCCCAGCTATTTGGGAGGCTGAGGCCAGGAGAATCACTTGAACCTGGGAGGCGGAGGTTGCAGTGAACCGAGATCACCTCACTACACTCTAGCCCGGGCGACAGTGCGAGACTCCGCCTCAAATAAAAAGAATGCCAGTATCAAAGAAGGCCAGGCTGAAGCCAGAAAGTGTCTGAGATGAGCTGGGGAGACAGGTGGGACAGATCTTGGAGAGCTTTGTTGTTCTAGTTAAGGATTTTGGCTGTTGTTCTAAGTGTAATTGGAAGCTAATGAAGGGTTTCAGGCAGATGCGCCACAGGATCTTACTCCCAATTAAGAGAGAAAAGGTCAAGGGAGGGACAGAGCCTACACAGGACACAGAGTCATACAGAAAGATGACCTGGGCTTTGAACAGATTAGAAGAGCTGTAAGAGTGGATTAATCAGGAGGCTATGCCATTAGTACAGGTGGTAGATAATGGTGGCTTTACCTGGGTGGTTGCAACATACAGATAAATGGAGATATATTTGGGAGACAGAATTGACAGGACTTGATTAACTGATATGGCAGTGTAGAGAAGGAAGTGCCTTGAATGGCCAGCTACAGCAATTCATGTGGGGGATGTTCATTGAGATGGGAACTCTGTACATGGAAGACTGGGGGAAGATCACGTGCTCAGTTTCTTGAAATGCCGATCTGGAGTGCCTGAAAGCCCACATAAACGTTGAGGGCTTGGCTAGAAAAAGGAATTAGATGTCAGAGAAGAGCTAGAGATTTTAATTTGGGAGTCTTTACCCAGGTCAAGGCACTTTTTAAAAAAAAATTTAACACCCAGGAAGGTCTAAACAAAGTGTTGTACGTTTCAGACCATTTTAATTCTTGTTTAATCTATATAGTATGACTCTATTTTCATAGTTTTCTCTTAAACATTTTGTTTTTCATGTATATCATTAACCACAACCTCTGCGTTGTGAACAAAAATCCCTAAAGCTGAAGTAGCTGAATACCACATATGTTTGACAGTAAGGAATCTGGGGTGGTGATCTCAAATCCTTACTAAACAGGTTGGCTATGTGGTGCTTTGGGTAAAACGTACTTCATATTTGATCCAGGTAGCTATGAAAATAATCTAGCATTTTATGTGCTTGTGCACTTTGAAGAGCGCTTATCTAACTTTTCCTCAAACCACTGATTTGTTATAGTACAGAGTTCATCTGGGGAACCAGTAAGCTCTTAAAAATAAGCTTTTTAATCAAAAGGACATTACTATTTTTCATTACAGCTGCCCGGTATAAAATTAGTATCCATATCGCGTCTGTAATTCAAATGCCTTTGTCTTCTTTCTTGTACCTAGTAAACGATTACAAAGGAAATGTCACTTCACCTAAGACTTAGTTGCCAAGGTTTTTTTTTTTTTTTTTTTTTAAAAAGAGACATTTTTCTCAAAGTTGTTCTAACCACGCAGCGTTGTGCTGTTTCAAGTTGCTCAAACTGTGCCAGGAGGAAGCCCTTAACTGCTTAAAAGGCCAGGGACTGAAACGGAGTATTGCACAACCCTTCACCACCGGGCGGTTTCGCTTCCAAATCTGGCCTTCGTGTCATCCCAAGGCGGGAGCCGCTCCTCGCTCCACTGGAGCCAGCCCTATTCCCCCTTCAAAAGCAGCCGGGGTTTCCTCGTCCAAGCCTGGGGCGCCCCTCCCTTCGCCCAAGGTTCCCGTGAAAGCCGAGCCGCGCGGCTGCGAGGAGGCCCCATTGTCCAGCTGGAGAGACCGAGTCTCGAGGGGCGACTCTCGCACTCAAGTACCGCCGGTCCGGCAGACCAAAGGTCCGCGGGTCTCCGCGCCGCTCCCCTCCCCCGCGGCCCCATTGTCTGCCTCGCCCCGCCCCGGGGGACACGTGCGCCTGCAGCTTCCCGAGGAGGAGAGTGCGGGGCGGTGGCAGTGGCGTGGACACCGCCTGGAACGGCTACGCGGTCGCGGAGCCGGGGGCGGGGGCCCGGCGCGCACAGACCGGTGGGTGCCCTCCGGGAAGCGGCAGTCGCACTCAGCGCCCACAGCACTCTGCAACGCCAGCCCCGGACTGGGCAGGGATGGGGCGGGCGGGAGCTCGGTGGGGGTGGCGTGCGCGTGGTGTCGCGGTGGGGGTGGGGCGGGGCGGGGTGGGGAGATGCCAGTCTCCTGACAAAGGAGAACGAGTGGGACACGCTGAGCCGGCCCACCCCGCCTGGAGGGGAGCGGGAGGGGGAGTGTCGGGAGGGGAAGGGGCGGGCCTTTCATTCAGTCTCGGCCCCTCCGCCGCCGCCGCCGCCGGAGCGGAAGGGCGGGGTCTTGTGCCTCCCCCACCCCCCACCTAAGCGGTGAGGAGCGGGGAAGGCGGTGCGGCGTGGGGGGCGGAGCCCGCGGGCGCGCGTCCCGAGGCGTAGGCTACGTCGTCACGTCAGCGCGGGAGAGAGAAAGAGAGGAGCCGACTCGGCAGGGACTGGGGGACGGGGCCGAGAGTGCGAGCAAGCAAGGGAGGGAGTGAGGGAGCGTGCAAGCCAGAAGGGGAAAGGCGGCCACTCGTGCCTGAGCGACCGCAGAGGGGAGTGGGAGCGGTGGGGGAAAGGAAGGGGGGGCGGGAATAAGACAGGCTGAGAGAAGGCGGACAGAGGCTAGTGGTGGTGGTGGTGGTAGTGGGAGAAGGAGGAGCTGGAGGAGGGCAGGGGCTGAGGGAGTGAGTGAGTGAAGCGGACGCGCGAGAGAGGGGAGGGAAGGGAAGGGAAAGGAAGGGGGGTCACGCGGGGGCGCGCGCGCGCACCGGGAGCGCGCTCGGAGGCGAGTGGAACTGGATCGGGTTTGCTGCCAGCGGCGTGAGCTTCGGCCGCCATTTTACAACAGCTCCACTCGCGCCGGACACAGGGAGCAGCGAGCACGCGTTTCCCGCAACCCGATACCATCGGACAGGATTTCTCCGCCTCAGCCCAACGGGGAGGTAACGACCGCCAGAACCCGGGTCTGGGAGGGGAGCTCCATGACATTGTGGAGTGAGCTGGGGGAGGGTGGCGCGGGGAGAAACCGGCTTTTCTGGAAAATGGATTCCAAGGGGGAGAAGAGCACGTTGACTGGGGCTGCCTGGGAGTAGGCCGCAGCCCGCGCCGCCACTTCCTCCTCTCCATGTGCTGCTGCCGTTCGGGCTTTGTCTGCGGCGCTCTGGGAGGAGGCGCCTCCACGGTCCCGTGGCCCGCACGGACCGCGAGCGGCTTCAGAGTTGGTGCTGTCGTGGCGGTCGCCGCGGCGCGGGAGTGGGCGGAGAGGAGTGGGTCTCGTCCCGCAGCCGTGCGGCGAGCTTGGGCGGTGCTCACAGTTCCGCGGGCGTTGGGCTGTTCACGGAACGCCCTCACGCTGCTGGGTTGCCGGGCCGGCGCCGCAGTCACTGCACGGAGGGGTAAGGGGTGGGGACCTGCACCGCGCGCCACGGGTCACGTCTCGGCCGGGCGGGCGGGCGGCCGGGGGTCGCCGGCGCCCGGGGAGCGCCCGGGGCGGAGAGCCATGTGTCACGGCGGAGACGGCAGCGCTGGGGGGCGGGGAGAGCCTGTGGCCTGGCGCCGCCACTGCCTCGGTGTTTAGGGGCGAGATTGTGCTGCTGCAGCTTTCTGGGGGCTCCGACTGCGGCTTCGGGTTGATGTTGGGAACCAGTGATGGTCGTCTTGGTTTGGGATTCGTTGGGTTTCCGTTGAAGGAAGTTGTAGGACATTGGAAGGCGCAGAGCACGTGTTTCTAATGGGCTCCTGGCGGCCGCAGTGGTGAGACTGCCGCTCTCGGTGCGGAGTCAGGGGCGGGCTTTGGGGTGCGGGGTTGAAGGGTGGAGAAATTGGGTGGTGGGAAGGTGGCTTGTATGAGCGCTTTGTTCTTCGCTGGCTGTTGTTACCGATCTATAAGCGGCAGGCGGGAAAAGCGCGCACTTTGGGGGTTTATCTTTGAGAGAGACGAGCCCAGTTTTGCTTTCTCCACACACACCTCATTTTCCGAACGGGCACAGCTGCATGTGACAAGCTGGCTCGTACCCGTGCTGATTGGGCTGTATTTGTAATATGGTTTTTCCTAGGGAGTGTTAGCAGGTGAGTCAGGGGAGGTGCTAAGGAAGAATATAGTGAATCGGTCCTTCTGTGCCCTGTGCTCCAAATCTGGCTTGTCTGGCGATAGTGACTGTAAGGCTTTTTTTAAAGGGAGGCACAGGCTAGCTGGTGTAGTCAATGGTAGAGAAAGTAAAGATGGGGCTCTCATATTGTCTTCTATTCTTTTTGAAGATCCTAGTTTAATTTTGCTTATTGCGTTTGAACAGATCTCTGGAAACATGGCTACAGAACATGTTAATGGAAATGGTACTGAAGAGCCCATGGATACTACTTCTGCAGTTATCCATTCAGAAAATTTTCAGACATTGCTTGATGCTGGTTTACCACAGAAAGTTGCTGAAAAACTAGATGAAATTTACGTTGCAGGTAAGAACTAACACTTGCAAAATTACATTATGAAATTTTTCTATTGGATTTCTGGCTTTGAGCTAAAATAGCAACTTTTTGTGGTTTCCAATAAGTGTGGGAACTGGAGTTTTGCTTGTTGTGATAGCTGGTTAATTTAAGTTTGAAGTAGAGGTTAAGATGTATAGAGGGAGGGAAGAAGAGAAGGTTAGGAGCTAAAGGCTGGCTTGCATGCTGGCCTGATGGATAAGTAAGTATATGATAGTAGCAACAGCTGCTAATGTTGGGAACAGGCCATGTGACTTTTTTGAGTATTTTTATAGTAGGATTCTTCTTAAATAACTTGGTAACTGTAGACTCGTTTTCTTGTCTTTTTGGTGCGGCTGTTAACTTTTTCTGGTGATAATTGAAATGAGTAGAGGTTGAGTTGTCATGCTTGGTACTTTGTTGGTTGATTCTAGGTCTTGTAAGCCTGTATACTGTAGACATACTGTAGTGCTCAGAGCTATCAGACTTTGGAGATAAAAGATGTAAAAGAAATTAGCTCATTATTACAAGTGTGGTTGGCAGGGCCTATTTAGTTCAGGATGCAGTTCTGAGTGGCTGAAGTGTGTTTTTTTTTTTCAGATATGAATAAGGGGAGTAGAAGAATTGTAAAGGCCCACATGTACCTGTATTGCCAACATAGTCTTCTCAAAAAAATCTTTTCTAAAAATATTAAAAGCTGATAACCTTTATTTTTTCCAGGGCTAGTTGCACATAGTGATTTAGATGAAAGAGCTATTGAAGCTTTAAAAGAATTCAATGAAGACGGTGCATTGGCAGTTCTTCAACAGTTTAAAGACAGTGATCTCTCTCATGTTCAGGTAATGTTAATGTCAGTGTGAAAAGAATTAAAAAATTTGAGTAGTTTTGATACTGTCTGCTAAATTTTATTAGACTCAGATATGGTTATTGTTAAATATTAATGGAACATTTTTTTGCAGAACAAAAGTGCCTTTTTATGTGGAGTCATGAAGACTTATAGGCAGAGAGAAAAACAAGGGACCAAAGTAGCAGACTCTAGTAAAGGACCAGATGAGGCAAAAATTAAGGTATGTCTTTCTATACTCCCTTTAGTTTTAAAGTTCTTTTAACTTTTCTAATTTTGGTAAATATTCCTTGGGTATGAAATGGATGTATGTTAGATGTTGAGATAATTCATCAATCTCTCCTAATTCCTGTTTTTTTTTCCATTTCTTTTAACTATTTGTTTCTAAAGCAATTTGCTGTGAAGTTTATCATGTTATCCAGCTACTGATGTTTAAATTTTCTATTGGTAGTTCCGATAAAAGATTAAAAGAAATACACTCATCATACCTCTAGATTATTTTTTGAAAAGCTGGAAAGCCAGCTTACTGATAGTTGAATACTGGTGGAGAATGTACACTTGGCAACTGTTTTTCTTAGGAGTCTCAAACCCCAGTGAATTTAGAATGTTAACCCTGCTGCCCTCCACTTCCGTCAGTATGGATTATTAGATTGTTTCTCAAAGCAGCTTTAACAGTAAGATTGTTTAGTGTGTATATGTAAATGAGAAACTGAGGCTAGGAAGGGAAGGCTCTTTTTTTTGGTTTAAGATTATACTGAATGGCTTCAAATTCAGCTCAGTTTTGATCTTTATATTGGTGAGTTTTCTTATTTATAGACAATGTGGTGATCATATTACTTTTTAATCTGGTGTGCTTTGTAGTGTGCCAGTGCTGTTGAGCCAAGCATATGGTTTAAGAAAATCAGTTAAGGGTATAGGCCTTGAGCATTGTTGTATTGGTGTGGACACAGGGAAAGCCTAGAATATGGAAAAGGTTGGTATATGGATTTAGCTGTTTAAAGATAGCCATGAATTTGAGGCTTTCACAGATCTAGCTGTGAGTGAATTGAGTTTTATCTGTAAATCTAGTTTTTCCATAAAAGTGGTGTATAGTTGTCTCGATTGTAATTCAGTTGTAATTAAGTCTGCATTTGTGAGCTAGATAGAACTTACTAAAATTTTTAAACTTTCAGTTTGTGACTTTCAGTTTATTTTGGAAAGGGATGGCTTAATTTTTTTTTTTTTTTTTTGGTGGGGAGACAGTCTCACTCTGTCGCCCAGGCTGGAGTGCAGTGGTATGATCTTGGCTCACTGCAACCTCCACCTTGCGGGTTCAATCAGTTCTCCTGCCTCAGCCTCCTGAGTAGCTGGGAATACAGGCTGACACCACCAGACCCAGCTAATTTTTGTATTTTTAGCAGAGATGAGGTTTCAGCATGTTGGCCAGGAGGGTCTCGATCTCTTGACCTCATGACCCACCCTCCTCAGCCTCACAGAGTCCTGAGATTACAGGTGTGAGCCACCACACCCGTCCGCTTAAATTTTTAATGAGACCTAAGTTGTGGTAAGATGGCATAGAGACATTTTTAGAGGAAGTCTGACAGAGGGAATAAGTTTTTCCTTTCTGTTTTTATGGATTGACAAAAAGTGTTATTTGGGTCATAACGATTAAGGTTAAAAAACTCCTTTATAGCACAGGGATTACATGTGAGAAAATGGAAAGATGAGCTATTACTGATTTAGTTTATGTTATAGTCATAGATGTGAGCAAGTTTATGAATGTTTTTATGAATTACATTATTTTTCATAAACATTTAGTGTCCTTTGAGTTAGAAGTTTTAAAAGTCTGTCTAGTAATTTTCAGAGACTGAGGTGACTCTAAATAATAGCATTTTGATACATTTTGTCAGATGGCTAGGGTTAGTCTGTTTTTATTTCAGAATGTATTAGCTAATGGAATTGGTTTTGTTTGGGAAACCACTTTTGTGCTTCGTGGTTGAGACACTGGAGAAGGGGAATAATTTGACTTTTTTCCTTCAGATAATGGAGGACTATGCTTCTTTTTTTGTTTGTTTTTTGTTTTCTGTTTTTTGTGATGGAGTCTCGCTCTGTCACCCAGGCTGGAGTGCAGTGACGCTGTCTTGACTCACTGCAACCTCTGCCCCTCCAGGTTTAAGCAGTTCTCTGCCTCAGCCTCTGGAGTAGCTGGGATTACAGGTGCGTGCCACCACGCCGGGCTAATTATTTGTATTTTTAGTGGAGACGGGGTTTCACCATCTTGGCCAGCCTGGTTTTGAACTCCTGACCTTGTGATCCACCCGCCTCGGCCTCCCAAAGTGTTGGAATTACAGGTGTGAGCCACCACACCCAGCCTATACTTCTTTCTATACTTTGCCTAGAATAGGAATAAATTCTTAATGCTTTGAGTAAATATGAGTTGTGTAAATTTTAACAGTACTTTTTGGGAATTAAAATGTAGAGGTTATGTAATGTTGCAGTCTCATAAAGTTTTAAAAGTCATTTTGGCTGTTACTTTTTCTGAATGACCCATGCTATCCCATGAAATATGGCACATAAATGTCAAATAATAATAGGAGATTTTTTTCGCTGTAGCTCCCAAGTTTCTAGACTTGGTTTGGGAAGTGTAATTTCTTCTGAGGTTGGCACAATGCCCAGAATGGCGTATAACCAGAGTGGGGTTATACGGAATTTATTGGGTAAAAGATCCAGACTTGAAAGATACTCAACCAAATTAGGTACAATCATTTTTTAAGGTGGTGTTAACAGAGTAATACATTCTGTCTTGAAAGTTGCTAATGGATTGATCTTTTTGTTGTCCATTAAGCACACTATTCAATTAAGTAGAGACTAGAAAGTAATTTGAACAAGACCCTGGAATTTTGGTAATAATTTAGAAGTATAACAAGTACACATTAAGGGGACATTTTGAAACAGATATCACAAACTTGTTTATGAGGGAACATGCCAAGATAATTGGAAAGATTTGAGCAAGGTGGATGTTAACTGCTAAACGTATGGGTGTGGTCTAGTGAATTAAATGTATTAATGACGTTTGAACTTTTCAAGGCACTCTTGGAAAGAACAGGCTACACACTTGATGTGACCACTGGACAGAGGAAGTATGGGGGACCACCTCCAGATTCCGTTTATTCAGGTCAGCAGCCTTCTGTTGGCACTGAGGTAAAGCAACTAAAAACTTGTACCTTTTGTAGTGAAAGCACAGGTGTCTGGTTTCCTAAAGCAATTCTCCATGGTTTTTACTTAATATTTAATTTGCAGATATTTGTGGGAAAGATCCCAAGAGATCTATTTGAGGATGAACTTGTTCCTTTATTTGAGAAAGCTGGACCTATATGGGATCTTCGTCTAATGATGGATCCACTCACTGGTCTCAATAGAGGTTATGCGTTTGTCACTTTCTGTACAAAAGAAGCAGCTCAGGAGGCTGTTAAACTGGTAAGTTGTCCTTTTTTTCCCTTCAGTTTTCATGTTCACTGTCTTTAATATCAAGTTTTTTTCTTATTGTGCCTAAGAGTTACCAAACATTTTTTGAAGTACTGATTTAGGCAGGTGTTTTTTTTCTTTTTTTTCCATATCACTGTGCAAGCATTGTAGTGATACTCTTTGCATGTATAGTTGATAGGATTCCACATCTAAAAGGCAGCATGGTAGAATTCCTAGCAGTTGGTTCTTAGAAACATCTGGCTTAGTGATGTTTTTTGTCTGTTTAAATTTATAGGGATGTGAAAAGATTTAAGAAAAGTAACTGTGGTAAGGGCTCTCATACTTCCTGGCCGTACCTGAGCCATCCCTTTTTCTAAAATAATTCACAAAAGACATTGTGATACATTTCTAGTTGATGAAACAAAAGATTTTATGGTGAGTGGCAATATTTGATTTAAAAATACCAGATGTTAGGTAAGGACCTGGTAATTTTTCCAGCTTTTTAAAAAAGGAAATCTTCTCTTCTCTTCTCTTCTCTTCTCTTCTGACCGAGTTTCTCTCTTTTTGCCCAGACTGAAGTGGTGTGATTTCGGCTCACTGCAGCCTCCACCCCTTAGGTTCAAGTGATTTTCATGCCTCAGCCTCCCGAGTAGCTGGGATTATAGGCACCTGGCGCTATGTCCAGCTAATTTTTGTATTTTTAGTACAGATGGGGTTTCGCCATGTTGGCCAGGCTGGTCTAGAACTCCTGACCTCAGGTGATCCACTTGCCTCGGCCTCCCAAAGTGCTGGGATTATAGGCACGAGCCACCACACCCGGCCAGAAAGAGATTTTAATATTTTAAATTACAGTTTATATAACTCCTTTAAACTAGCTTTATTAAGTTCTGTGACTGAAGTGATTCTGCATTTTATAGTTGAAGAGTTGGGGCCTAATTTAAACCCATAGAATGTATCAAGCAATACACCTGGGGAGAACTTTTGTACAGGATAGCTCACTGTGCCACGTTTGTTAAATTTGCTTTATCTGGCTTGTATATCCTGTGGGTAATTCCAGACAAACTTAAAAAATCTTCAGACTGATTTTTTTTCCCCTCCCTCCTGAGTTTTCCCCCTTCCCTTACCGTGACGTCTGTCACTTTTAAGCAAGCCTTAAAAATAAAACTCGTAAGTCTTCTTTTCTTTTTTTTTGGGAGATAGAATCTCATTCTGTCACCTAGGCAGGAGTGCAGTGGTGTGATCTTGGCTCACTGCAATCTCCGCCTCCCAGGTTCAAGCAATTCTCGTACCTCAGCCTCTCCGGTAGCTGGGGTTACAGGCATGCACCACCACACCTGGCTAAATTTTGTATTTTTGGTAGAGACAAGGCTTCAACATGTTGGCCAGGCTGGTCATGAACTCCTGACCTCAGATGATCTGCCTGCCTCAGTCCCGCAAAGTGCTGGAATTGCAGACGTGTGCCACTGCATCCGGCCAAGTCTTCCTTTTCTATATTGCGTGAATACCTCCAACTGGTTTGCATAATTGAGTATGATGGAAGTCTAACAGTAAAAAAGTATGCTACTTGAAAGAATATAAGTCTTTACAAAGAGAATTTGGGAATTTAGATATTTCTTTTCAAATCATGTCAGATTTTTCCCTTAAAAGAGTGCTTTCTATTTTAGAGGGAATTCAGATTTACTGGTAACCTTTGAGTTGTCAAAATTTTAGTTTCAGCAGTTGAATTTGAGGGGCATTTCGAGCTCTAGAAAGAGGTACCTTAGAAATCTTTAGTTTTTATTATTTGTTTTTTGAGACAAAGTCTCTGTCACCCAGGCTGGAGTGTGGTGGGCACGATCTTGCCTCACTGCAACATCTGCCTCCTGGGCTCAAGCGATTCTCCTGCTGCAGCTGCAGCCACCGAGTAGCTGGGAAAACAGGCGCGTACCACCACGCCAGGCTAATTTTTGTATATCTAGTAAAGACAGGGTTATGTTGGCCAGGCCGGTCTCAAACTCCTGACCTCAAGTGATCTGCCCGTCTTGACCTCCCAAAGTGCTGGGAGGACAGACATGAGCCACTGTGGCTGGCAGGTTGGTCTTGAACTCGTGGCCTCAAGCCATCCTCCTACTTCAGCTTCCCAAAGTACAAGGATTACTGGCATGAGCCACCTTGCCTGGCCCAAAATCCTTTAATCTCGTATAAAAGAATAGAATATTTTTGCCAAGTAGCAATAAAGTAGCAGTAAGTGAAAATACAGAATGATCTAGTAAGCAATGAGGTATCTGAACTACAGAAAGTTAATACAGTGGGCCCTCTGTACCATGGGTCCTGCCTTAACAGTTTCAGCTAGCTGAGGATTGAAGATACTCCAAAAAAACCCAATAAAAAAATAGCAATACACCAGTGTGTGAGAGAATGTTCATGGGTTATATGCAAACACTATGCTATTTAAGAGAGTTGAGGATTCATGGATTTTGGTATGGGTTCCTGGAACCAGTCCCCTATATGTACTGAGGGACCACTGCAGAATTTAGCTAGTGGTATCAGATCCATTTTTTAACATTTTGAAAAAGAATCATTAAACTGACATTGTAGGTTACTTAATTGTTGCCATCAAAATATACCAGTTATGGTAGGTGACCACTGTAACTTATTTATAGATGTTTTCCAGAAACCTTACAGTAAAGATACATCATTAGAGGAAGATAGTTTATAACCCATTAGTAACACAGTGATTTTGAGTGCCAGTAGACACTTGGAAATGTTTCCATTTGTACAGTTGCCTTGTTTAATAAATAAATTCCAAAATTGCATTGCTGTAGGCTGCTTAGAATATAGTCTTATTAATATAGTTTTTAAATATAATGGAGAAACTTCTGTAGATAATCAGGCGTTCTTTTCGACTGACCTAGGAATTAACTCTTGTCCTAAAACTTTCTACGTTTCTTTCTGTGTTTCTCTGTCCTGATCCGAGTCCTTTTCTGGGGTCATAATTTTTTGGTACTACCTGATTAATAGGAGACTTTGCATTTTGTTGCCTTTTAAAAGATACTTCTGGCAGGGTGTGGTTGCTCACATCTGTAGTCCCAGCACTTTGGGAGGCTGAGGTGGAAGGATTGATTGAAACCAACCTGGGAAACATAGACCCCCATCTGTACCAAAAAGGTAACAGATTAGCCAGGCATGGTGGCGTGCACCTGTGGTCCCAGGAGGTCAAGGCTGCAATGACCTGTGATCATGCCACCGCACTCCAGCCTGGGCAACAGAGACCCTGTCTGAAAAAACCAAAAAGGGGGAAAAAAATATTTCCAATGGTAGCTATTGATATACAGCCACTAGGATATATTGGTCATATCATCATTTGCTTTTTTTGACTTTTCAGTACATTTTTTTGAAACGGAGTCTCCCTCTGTTGCCCAGGCTGGAGTGCAGTGGTGTGATCTTGATTCTCTGCAACCTCTGCCTCCTGGGTTCAAGTGATACTCCTGCCTCAGCCCCCTGAGTAGCTGGGATTACAGGTGCGTGCCACCATGCCTAGCTAATTTTTGTATCTTTAGTAGAGATGGGGTTTCACCATGTTGGCCAGGCTGGTCTCAAACTCCTGACCTCAGACTCGGCCTCCCAAAGTGCTGGGAGTACAGGTGTGAGCCACCACACCCAGCCTACTTTTAAGTAAATGGTTAATTTAATTTAATTTAATTTAATTTATTTATTTGTTTGTTTATTTATTTATTTGAGAGGGAGTCTCTGTTGCCCAGGCTGGAGTGCAATGGCACGATCTTGGCTCACTACAAGCTCCGCCTCCCAGGTTCACACCATTCTCCTGCCTCAGCCTCCTGAGTAGCTGGGAGTACAGGCACCCACCACCATGCCCAGCTAATTTTTTTTGTATTTTTTTTTTAGTAGAGACGGGGTTTCACCCTGTAATCCAGGATAGTCTCGATCTCCTGACCTCGTGATCCACCCACCTCAGCCTCCCAAAGTGCTAGGATTACAGGCGTGAGCCACTGCGCCCAGCCTTAAGTAAATTGTTTTAATTATTATTATTATTTTTGGAGGCTGTGTGTCACTCTGTTGCCCTTGCTGGGGTGCAGTGTCATGATCAAAGCTTACTAACCTTGAACTCCTGGGCTTATGTGATCTTCCTGCCTCAGCTTCCTAAGCAGCTGGGACTACGAGGGCACCACCATGCTAGGTTAATTTTTAAACTTGTAGAGGTGTTGTCTCACTATGTTGTCCAAGCTAATCTTGAACTCTTGGCCTCAAGCAGTCTTCCTGCCTTGGCTTCCCAAATTGCTGGGATTATAGGGGTGAGCCACTGTGTCTGGCCATTGTCTGCTTTTTTTAAAAGGATGCTTTACTGTGGGTAGGATCTGGTGGATTTGCTTTAGCACAACAAAGAACTAGATTTTAGAGAAAGTGAAGTAATTGAAACATTGTAGAGAAAATATAAATCCCAAGTTGTTTTGGATACACTTTGTATTCATTTGTGGATGTGAATACCCCTTTCCTAAGTATATTCTTCAAGGGCGCATACTTTGGAAACTATCTCTACTGTGTTACCTTTTGAGAGATTCTACTTGTTACAATTCTGTCCAAAGTGAATTTTTAATTGAAGTGCCATTCTAGTTATATATAACTAAATGCTGGGAAAGTGCCTCGTGCCTCCTTTGCATTATTTATAGATCAGACAAGATTGAAGCACCTCTGTCTGGAGGAATATCTTAGGTTGAGATAGTTTTAGGTATTTGGCATTGTTTTTTTAATACTGATACAGCAATGATTAGTTTCTCTAGGTTAAATAGTATTGTAGACTTTATATTTGTATGTGGACTTACAAAAATGGGTTAATTGATGTTAACAATTGAAGAAGCATGAAGTTAATTAAAAGCAACTGCAAGTTTCTTAAATGACCCTGATTCTAGCCAACATCTACCTTTATTTTGAGGAATGAAAAAAATCCATTTGCAAATGATAATCTAGCTAGGGAAGTAAGATCTAAACTTGTGAAAAGGTGATTAATAGCTACT